ATGAATATTAATCTAATATATTGGAAAATTTATGACAACGTAAGATGCAAAAAATTGTAATATCACAAATATTAACAAATTAGAGAATCATGTTATATGTTACATTGCAAAAACATAGTGTTGATGGATAAATAATATTAATATTTTGTTACAATGGTATTACCTGAATTTGTTATGTATAACAAAAAGTATGATAGTAACAAACATTTTGAACATTAGTAACAACGACGGGATATAATCATACTATTAAGAAAAAAAATCATTTTACCTAGCATGGCTTGATTCACAATCATTCGATAAAATTTTAGACAAATACTAAAATTCAACTACAACACGATTTGAAATTACTCTTTAGTTCACAATGATTGGAGCTAAAGTTTCATTGTAACAAACATTAGATCTTAACTTTTAATGTGATACGATGGTACAGGAAGGCCTTTGGTAAAGATAACAGCTGGAAATGAGAGAAAGAGCGAAGAGTAGGCTACAATTTCGATTAGAATAATGAAACTCATTTGGTATGAGTCTAAACCTACACGTAGATTATTCAACAATGACATTATTTTCAACAAATTCTCTCAAAGTACCATTCTGCACAAGACTTTTTCCATGGTCATAAATTATCTCAACTTCATCGAGCATCAGCAATTTGTATGATTGCTTTGGTTGTGTTTGTATAGTTGCCTTCGATGTGCGCTCTCCAAAAAAAAAAAAAAAAAACACCAACAAAATGCCACCGGCTGAGAAACAAAGACGATAAACACATTAGTTGAAACTCGGTTCATTTCCAATATTCTGGATTGCATTTATAACATTATGCCAACAATTTTTCGTCTTAATAAAAGACTATGTGCAAACTGCAATTTGATTTCAAAGTTTCAAAAGAGTAGGGAAAGAATATGGCCAAAAGACAAGCAGAAAGTCAAACCCCAAACAGTTACACCAAAACATATGCAGGTGCTTTGTTGTTGCTTGGAAATTCCTGCTGCGTATGCTAATGACGCAATGGAGACATACGATACTGCGTAGATGGTCAGACTTGTGTGCGCGGTTTTTCAAATGGAGCTAATAGTCGTTCTATTTTTCCCAGAGTTATCCAGAGGAAACGATGCGCTAGAGACAACCAGTTGCTGCATAGAGGAAAATAAACAGTAGGAGATGGTTTTAAGGCCATTGGACATACATCCATGTGGGAGAATTGGTTGTGCACCCATTTATGTTTTGTCCTAAAGTTACTTTGGGATATGGGCTGAACATATGGGTCTCCAAGTCCATGCGTAAAATGACTCATTTTTAAGGATAATTCTATGTTATTCTTCAAATCCAAACTTGGGTTTTTTTTAAAAAAAAAAAAATGTAAAGAAAGGGACCTGGCCATCTACAAGACCCTGGTAGACTCCAACCACATCTGCTTCCACATGCAGGTCTTCCTTTTTGTTTGTTGCATCTTGTTCAACAATATTTCGATTCTCATTGTGCTGGTTCATTTGATCCCCATCTTCAAAACCTTGTTTCTCCATGTTATTGCCTGGTGGTGGTGGCATGGTGTTGGCTATTTATTTGTATATAGTTTAATCATTGAGTAGATGGACAAATTAGCCTGAAATGTTTTTATAAAACACACGACATGTTATCCAAGAATGGTTGAGCAAATCTTTGCAATTATGTTGGCCCCATAGGGGCTGAAAATGTTAAAATAGAGTGCAGCTACAAAGTGTATTAATTCTTGAATTATATATGCAATGAAGGCAACACTGCAACACACTTTAAATTTCAACACACATGTAAAAGTACGACAACCAAACCATTAGGCTAACAACAATATACATACTAACCTATAATCCTAACAAAATAAAGTCCAAGATGTACAACACTAATCAATGTCCAATCCATAAATAATTATTCGACACAAATATATCTAGAAAAGACAAACATCTACAACCAATTGTACAGTAACATTAAACTTCAGATCCGAACTATCAAACAAAATGTAACTAATAATACGACCTCAATCCGTCTCCGTTGTCTCAGTCTTGGTTCCTTAACGTTGAATTGTTAATTGTTACTTATGGTCCAAAAATTCAAAGGATGGGCTGAAAGCACCAAAATTATTATTGAAGACAAATGTTGGTAATTGATGTAAAACTAAGACATAAGTATATAAGGTACAGTATCTAAATAGAATGCTCCCAGAAAAATAAAATTAAATAAAACACCAACAATAAATGACTATCTAAATGTTGTTCTCTAAAGGAATAATAAAATAAAATAAAACACCGACCACAAATGACTATCTAAATGGAGTCTTCTAAAGGAAAAAAATGAGCTACTTCTAACAAAAATTATTGGCACTTCTCCAAACTGAATATTTGGAGTTGGTACATAATAAAAAGAAGTCACATATTCGTAAGAAAACCAAAATCACGAAACATCTCAATTTAATAAAATACCTACAGATTAATATGAGTTGAATTTTCCAGTATTTGAGTGTTGCACTTAGAAGAACCCTTACTGCCTTTTTCTCTGTCATGACACCATAATGCTTTACTCAAATATTTTCTTCCACTTCCGGTAAATGAAGAATAAGTTTATTAATCTCTTCAAAAAGAGGTTTATTGAGAAAATAAAAAGAATCTCATTAAAGGGTTTTACCTAGGAATAAGTTTATTAATCTCTTCAAATATATATTTTTGTATACACATAAAATCAATAATAAAAATGATTAAAAGCCCATGATTAACGCGTTTTATTTATCTGAAGCATATCAACAATAATATCAACAAAAAGTTCAATACATTATTAGATAATATATATACATATATACAAAAAGGGAAAAAAAGTATGACACGAGCAATAGTATAAGAAATTAACCGTATCCATTCTATAAACCTTGAAAACACCACAGACAACCTCATCTAAGTTCAATTCCAACAATATAACCTTAAAAATTTTACCGCAAAATCAAGCAACCAATTATGATACTTTGTTGCAATGAAGCAATAGGAAAATTCTTAGGTCACATCGAAAATTATCAAAGAAATTATAATTAAAATAATAAAAACAGAAGTAATCACAAGAAACCAAAAAACAGAAAGGCTTCAACCAAAAGAAAATTGAGTTTGAAACAGCCAAACAAAAGCACAACGAAAAATAAAAGAAGGCCTCACCACTTCTAATATAAGCCAACAAAAACAAATTGAAAATTAGTTAATTTTAAAAAATAAACCAAAAAGAGAAAAGAACATAAGCACATAAAGACAATAATAATAAAATTATATGAGGAGAAAACAAAACCAAAATAAACATAGGGAAAACCTTGCGACTCCTTAGACAGATGATGAGTTGTGTCTTGTTGTCCTTCGAGGCTGCTGGAATTATAACAAAAAAATACACATGTAAGTAATCGTAAGAAACCACATAACCAAAGGCAAACCTTCAACTTAAAAGGCAAAATTTCAACTCAAAAGACTGACACTCGAAATCTTCTTCTTTGTGTTACTTAGGTGGTTGTTTGAGGATGCTTTTGTGATTAATATTAGCAGATAAGATAAACCATTATTCAATCCTTTGTGACCATTTATGAATAAATATTGTATAATTGCATAATATAGACTTTCGCAGTAAAGTTATACTTGATCATTATTAATTACAGACAATGAGCGTCAGGTATAGTTCTTCAACTCTTTCATGAAACTATTAATCACTGCTACATATATAGAGGCTTGTGAATACTTGAAACATACAGATATATTAAAAATATTGTATTTGGAAATATATTATCAACATCCATACAAATATAGTATTTTCAAAAATCGTACTTGAAAACATATCATCAACATCCACAGATATAGTATTTTCAAGTAATAAACAATCTATATATGAAAATTGTACGTTTGAAGTGAATAAATTGGATAGATAAATTGGCAGCCCGTACAGGTGGTTAATAATTTCTCAGGCTAGGCAGATAAGGCATTATACATGCAATTATTCAAAATTCAATATTTCTTTTGATGGAAAAAATGTATATTATCTTTAATTTCCAATTCATATTATCTAGAACTTGACAAAGTTTAGCTCTAGAACTCTTATTTTTTAGTTTTTTCAAGAATTCAAATTGATAAAACTAAAATAGCTTATTCTTCATAAAATATTGTGCATAGTTAATCAAAAGCAGACTTCACAATATTAAAACTAAATCCACCACAATCTATCTTTAACAATCACAGTGTAAAAAAATTCCTTGATTTCATTTATTTATTAATTAAAAAGAAAAGAATAACTAATGTGGATGAAGCAGCACACTCATGGGGAAAGAAGACAAATTTCATAGACCTTAGTTTATGTAGTTGTCTGTCATCATAGGGAAAAAAGAAAAATTTCTGAAGACGTCGTGCACCCTGGCTTTCCATAAGAAATGTAAGGCTTAGATCAGACGTCGAGGAGATCGGAGCCTCCGCTTCCGGCGAGGTGGGGACGTGGTAAATCTGGATGACGGAGTTGTTGTACGGCAGTTCCTCTACGGATCTGACGCAGGGGGCGGCGGCGTCGTGTACGGAGGAGAAATCGACTTTTCTGCCCTTGATATCGGTGATGTTGACATAGCCGAAAGTGCCTGCGGCCCCGCCGGTGGCTAGAAAGAGGGAGGAGGTGGTGGTCGAGCCCCTGATCTGGTGGAGCTTCTTGGAGCAGAAGTAGCAGGCGAAGATGTGGAGGGCGAGGAAGTTCTCTCTCTCTATCTTCAATTAAATGTGATGTGATTGTTGCGTGTGCAAAAAAAAAAAAAAAGTTTGCAAAATGGTATCCAAACGATGTCGTTTTGACTGAAATGGGAGCCAATGAAAGGTGCCACGTGGCAGGTAGAAATGGAGGTAGTATGTTTTCTTATAAGTAAGAGAAAGATTGGTATACGAATCCAAAATCTGATTTGACTTTGTCAAAAAGATTTGGTTAAAATAGCAATCGAATTCATTCACCACACCCACAAAACGGAAGAAGCAAAGATGGTCAAACAGATCCTACTAACCCTCCTCTTCCTAATCCTCCTCGCCCGCCCCTCCCTCGGCCGGAGCTCACACCTCATCCACCTCCGGTGGCCGGACCTCTACCCGCCCTCTCTCGCCTGGGACCCCAAAGCCGACCACTTCCTCCTCCCCTCCCTCCGCCACCCCCACCTCGTCTCCGTCTCCGACGCCGGCGTATCCTCCGCCCTCCTCTCCGACGAATCCCTCCCACCCAACTCCTCCTTCCTCGCCGTCTCCCTCGACCCCCGCCTCCGCCGCCTCCTCGTCGTCGTCCGCAGCCCCACCCCGCCCCTCTCCGCCCTCGCCGCCTACGACCTCCCCACCTCCCGCCGCCTCTTCCTCGCCCCGCTCGACGGCCTCATCCCCTCCCCCGCCGCCGCGAGCCACGTAGCCGCCGACTACTCCGGAAACGCCTACGTAACCGACTCCGCCAACGGCGCCGTCTACCGGGTCACCGAGCGGGGCGAGGCCACGGTTCTGTCCAGATCCCAAGCCTTCCTCTCCGGATCCGGAGACGGCGGGCTCAACGGCGTCGTGTACAACTCCAAGGGCTACCTCCTGGTGACCCAATCGAGCACGGGGAAGCTGTTCAAAGTCAACGCCGACGACGGCACGGCGAGGCGCGTGATCCTGAACAGGGATCTGACGGGTGCCGGCGCGATCGCCACCCGGCGCGACGGCGTGGTGGTGGTTGTCTCGAGGCAGAAGCTGTACTTCGTGAAGAGCGACGACAGCTGGGGGGAGGGGGTGGTGTTTGACGAAACTGCCCTCGACGAGGCGGGACATGCCAGTGGCGTGGCGGTAGCGGCGGAGGGCCGTGTGTACGTGGTGTACGGCCACGTGGGCGAGGGCATGATGGGAAGTTCCGGCCGGGAGGAGTTCAGCATAGTGGAGGTGAGGTCGGAGGTTGAAGGCAAAGATGAGAATGTGTGGATATTTGTTCTTCTTGGGCTTGGCTTGGCTTATTTCTTGTATTGGAGATTCCAGATGAAACAGCTTGTGCAGAATATGGACAAGAAAACTTCTTGATCATTTTTTTTTTTTTGTTGGTTTTTTTCTAGATTTTGATTTGATTTAGGTATTTATTGTTTAGTTGTTTGTGTAGCAGAGTGTTATACTTGCTGGAGATTGGTTCTGTTACGAAATCATCTCGTCGAGACTTGTAACTGCTAGATGAACTTGAAATCTTACGGTTACAAATCCCGACGGAATGGTTCCGTAATGGGATTGTAGCATTTCTCTATACTTTATTAGTGAGATTTAAATGAAATTCTTGTTTTGCATTGGACCAATTTGAAATCTTTTTGGCCTCACCCCATCAAATCCAAACTAGAACACTGCAAATGAATGACCCAAAAACACATGGATACAAATATTTATTGAAAATGCCACATTATGTTCTCTCCCAAATCAGGCTCACATAAGGATAATAACTGGGCAAACAAGGAAGTACCATACAATGTGTAGATGCTAAGGCAAAGTGGTCTCCACAGTTTTGCCATTGATGATATTTGGAAGTGCAGGAATGAATGTCTCTGCTTTCGGAACTTTTTTCTCTTCACCACCGTTTTCTGGCTCTATGTTCGCTTTGTTTTCCTCCTTTTTGGCTTCCAGCTTGGACACACCGGCCTTCTTCCTAAGCTCCTCGAAATTTTCCATGATTTTCTGCTTTATAGTGGCATTTCTTGGTCGTGCCTCCGCAGATGGCGGCAGGAGAAGAGAGAGAAGACTTACCGATGCAGCTGTTAGTTGTAGCATTTCCCGTCTGGATTTTGTCGTGAGGCTTTGTGTTTGTGGCAACAGTGGTTTCTCTTTCACCTACAGCCAAAAGAATAACATAAATGATATTGATAATAATGAATACTTTACAAAGAAGTTCAAAATTGAAATCCAGGTATATGGAACTTGGAGAAAATAGGTAGCTAGTATTACCTACCGACTGAAGAGTTCTTTAAAAATGTGGGTAAACGAAACCAACGCAACCCATTGTCCGGTAAATGTAAAACAAGTGTAGGTTTTATTATATTTGTTCAAACACTTCCTTTCTGAATTTTTCATTTCCTTTTGAAAGAAGAAATATCAGAGCATATCCAAAGAGTTCTTGCTAGAATGGGATAAGATTAAAAACTCAAGTTACACGACAGTCACAATGAACACGGTCATTGGTTAACTTCGGCTTTCAGTGCTGCAACACAGGCAGATTGGTCGACAAACACATCATTTTTGGAATTCAGGTCAAAAGTGAAGATCTAAACAAAGTTGGCCTTGACTTCATAGATGAGGATGTTTATCTATCCATGTCACAACTCAGAAAATGCTGAGGCAAAGTCAAAATGGAGAACAACGGTTTGGTTTTTTAATAGGAAAACAATATTTTTAGGTCCACGCTCGGCTTACCATTTTCACTAAGTCCTTTCAAGGAAAAACAATATTTGAACACGACCATACTGTTCTGTTGAGATACTCCGTTACGATATACGGGCTGACGAAAATACTCCAACCAGTTAAAATGGTACACTTTAATAATGTCCAGCATATGACATAAGTACATAACTAAGAATTCAAGATGGCAGCATAAAGGAAGATTCAAAAATTCGAAATTTCAGGATTAGACCTCATTCCTCGACCCTTTTTCAAGCAAATACTGCGAACGAGATAAATCCATCAAAAGTGAAACTTTACTGAACTCACATCGTCGATTACATTTTTGCTCAAACATACTCACCTGATATTACACTGAGAAGCCAAATAAAGTTTGTTATTGAAGCATATCATGCTTCCAACCATACAAAAACCACAGTTAAGATGGAAGCCCAAAAATCTCGAAACTATTCTCACCAAGCTCTCACAACCAAACCATTTTCTGCAATTTTCTAGTGCCCCCTTCAGTAATTATTTCCAAGACAGGACAACTCAAGTAAGCGGATGAATACGAGCTAATCAGACAAACGAAAAACATTTTATATGGCCGTTCTTGAGAACTAGATGCACCCCGTATATCATAATGCTAAAATATCACGGGATACCGAACAGAACAAAATAAAAATGTATAAATCCACAAATACAGATTTCAATAATCTTAGTAGCACAACCTTACAGGAAATTCAGACAACACAAAATTTCACCTAGTCTCACTCATCAACATATTCAAACTCAAAAGTGTTCATTTTCTTGGCAACTCAGATCCAAATTAAAGTGCCTTCTTTTCCCCATTCCAAAATTACTTTCCATAACAAATCATTAAAGCCATTGAAGTCCAGTCACACTTCAAGTAATAATAAACATACATTAAGTTAAAAAAAGACACACACACACACACACAAGCACAAACATACTTACATAAATTGCTCCAAACAACAGTACTATTGAAGGATAAACACAAGAGGGGCTATTAATCCTTAACTAGAGATGAGGATGACTACACAATCCGAAAGTAGAACAGGAGAACAAAAAATTAGGGAAAACATATTTTAGAGGGAACACAAAAACAAAAAACAAAAATAAAATAAAATGTGAAGTATGGACCTGGAGAGGAAGAAGTGCTTGTCTTTTGATCATTATGACTTTTGAATCTTTCGATTGCGGCCGCCCATTTGAAGCTTTGATCGCCGGAGGGACACCGGAGACTAGTGGTTTCAAGGTCGACGGCGACATTTTGAGGGGTCCGACTGGTTGTTGACGCTTTAGGAAGGCGGTGCACTATGAAGTTAGACGAGGGAGTGAACCACGTGCTGGTTACTTTATTTTAGCATGATCTCAATATACTATATAACACACCTACCGCTCTAACACACATATCTATCTACAAGATAAATAAATGGGGATAACTAGAGTCTTTCGCTGACGGAATCATTCCGTCAATAGTTTCTACAGTAAATTATCTACACAAAGTTAATCTATGTTAGAATATATTTTGTATATATGGTTATAATATATTTTGTATATATATTGTAGGATTAGATTTAGGCTCATTATGTTCCTATATATATGTGTACATGTCTTTTGAATAATATAGAACATATATTTTTCTCTCTTTCTTACATGGTATCAGACTAGGTTTATAGTCCAATATAAGGTTAGTATTTTTCGCTCGTCTCCGGCCGTCTTCTATTCTTACCTCCCAGACCATCCTCTTCGGCATCTTTCGGCGAGCCGTCGGTCAAAATTTGGGCTCGTTCGGAGGCGCGTGGGACCCACACTCGCGGGAACAGTGCGACAGTGCTGGCAGCTTCAGCCGGAGCGTGAGATTCACCCCCAGCTCCGATCGCCGTGATTTTTCAGCCGTCGACTCCTCTCATCGGCGGCTACGTCCTGGTGTGGTCGGTTTTGGTTTTTGTGCCGTTTTTAATTTCGGCCTTTTACTGCTATTTTATCCGGTTTGTGATCCAGTTCGTGATTTTCTTTTGTCTTCGTACTGTTGCTGGTTGCTGGTGCTTCTTTATTTTTTTGGATATGGATTCTTCTATGGTGGTCTGCCACATTTGCCATGTTCAGGGTCATATTGCTTCATTTTGTCCTACGGTGGTATGCCACATTTGCCATGTTCGGGGTCATATTGCTACATATTGTCCAGCCAGATCACACCGTTGGAGAGGTTCATTCTCTCGACATCATGGGTCTTCCTCTACCGCCACTTCTTCTGTTACAGCGGCTGTCACTACTGAGCCTCAGCATTCGTATTACACTCTTCAAGACATAGAGGCTATTCTCAAACAGGTTCTTCTTTCCAATTCTTCTATGTCTGCTACCGGAGGTAAATCACATTGGTATTTTGATTCTGGCTGTTGCAATCACATGACCTCTAGCCTGCAGCTTTTGTCTTCCTCGTCTTCCGTAACCTCTTTACCTCCTATACATACTGCTAATGGTACTCTTATGAATGTTACTCACACTGGTTTGATTTCTTCCCCTTCCTTGCATCTTCCCGACACATACTGCATTCCTGACTTGGCCTTGAATCTTATTTCTGTTGGTCAATTGGTTGACCAAGGTCTTAATGTTATATTTTCATCTTCTGGTGTTCAGGTTCAGGATTCACAGACGGGACAGCTTCTCGGGAAAGGTCGCAAGACGGGCCGGTTATTTGAGCTTGAGTCACTTCATGTCCCTCGTTCCTACGCTTTTTCTGCTTCTTCCACCGATAGTAAGTCTAGTTTCCAGTGGCATCTTCGTCTTGGGCATGCGTCTTCGAATAAAGTTCGTTCTTTATATAATAAGGGTCTTTTGGGTTCAGGTCATTTTGAGTCTTTTAGTTGTCTTCATTGCAAACTTGGGAAACAACCGGCTCTTTCTTTTTCTGATAGTTTGTCAACTGCAGATAAACCTTTTGGTTTGGTACATTCTGATATTTGGGGTCCTTCTCCTGTTGCTTCTCTGAGTGGTTTTCGGTATTTTGTTATTTTTGTTGATGATTTTTCTCGTTTTACCTGGATCTATTTTCTCAAAAATCGTTCTGAGTTGTCCAGCATATATGTTCAATTTGCTAAAATGATTCTTACAAAATTTTCTTGTCCTATAAAGGTCTTGCGTACTGACAATGCTCTTGAGTACAAAGATTCTACTTTTTTGAAATTTCTTTCTGATCAGGGCACCTTAGTTCAACGTTCATGTCCATATACTTCCCAACAAAATGGACGAGCTGAACGTAAGCACCGTCACATTCTTGATACTATTCGTGCTCTTCTTCTTTCTGCTCAGTGTCCTGATCGTTTTTGGGGTGAGGCAGCCTTGACTGCTGTTTATGCTATCAATCGGTTACCCTCATCAGTCATTAGGGATGTCATTCCTTTTAGAGGTTGTACGGCCAGTCTCCTGATTATACTCAGTTACGTCCTTTTGGTTGTGCTTGCTTTGTTCTCCTTCCGTCCCATGAGCGGACCAAATTAGAACCCCGAGCTCATCTGTGTTGTTTTTTAGGTTATGGGGTAGAACACAAAGGATTTAGGTGTTGGGATCCGATTTCTAATGGGTTGCGTATCTCGCGTCATGTTACCTTTTGGGAGCATACTACTTTTTCCTCCTTGTCTAAGTTCCACATTCCGTTTGATTCGGCGTCTCCTTTATTCATGTCTATTACTTCAGATCTTTTTCCAGATACAGATACAGGTTCTGACTCTCAGCTCATTGACACGCCTGTCATGCCTCCGTCTTCTAAAGTGGCTCCACCTGTGCATCATGAACCGACGGTTCGTAATGAGCCCTCTTCTGGTTCTGTACTTTTGCCAGCTATTGATCAGCGACGTCGACTCGTGTAAGTCGTCCCCCTTCTCACTTACTTGATTATCATTGTTATTCGGCCATATTATCTCATCATGAGCCTAGGTCTTTTCGTGAGGCGAGTATTGATCCATTGTGGCAACAAGCTATGGATGAGGAATTGCAGGCCTTAGACAAGACTCATACTTGGGATCTAGTTGACCTACCTGCTGGCAAGAAACCCATCGGATGCAAATGGGTTTACAAGATCAAAACAAATTCAGATGGGTCTATTGAGCGCTACAAAGCTCGTCTTGTTGCTAAGGGGTACTCACAGGAGTATGGCATAGATTATGAAGAGACATTTGCACCGGTTGCTCGTCTTACTACTGTACGCTGTTTACTTGCAGTTGTTGCAGTTCGTCGATGGTCTCTTTTACAGTTAGATGTTAAGAATGCCTTCTTGCACGGTGCATTATCTGAGGAGGTTTACATGACTCCTCCTCCTGGGTTCTTGTCCTCTAGGAAGGTTTGTCGTCTCCGTCGAGCTTTGTATGGCTTGAAACAAGCGCCTCGTGCCTGGTACGCCACGTTCAGTTCTGCATTGTTTCAGTTTGGTTTCACTACGAGTGATCACGATTCTGCCCTATTTCTTCGGCGCTCTTCATTTGGGATCATTGTTTTGTTGCTCTATGTTGATGATATGATCATCACGGGGGATGATGTTTCGGGTATTTCCGACTTACAGGATTATATTCGACAACATTTTGAGATGAAGAGTTTGGGTCGTCTTCGCTATTTTCTGGGTCTTGAGATTTATGATTCCTCTGATGGCTTCTATTTGTCTCAAGCCAAGTATGCCTTTGATCTTCTTGCTCGGGCCGGTCTCACTGATTACCAGACAGCTTCCACACCTCTTGATTATGATATTCGTCTTACTCCATTGGATGGTTCTCTTCTTGAGGATCCTACGTTATATCGCCAGCTCGTTGGGAGTTTGATATATTTGACTGTCACTCGACCTGATATAGCTCATGCTGCTCATATTGTGAGTCAGTTTATGGCTGCTCCGAGAACCACGCATCATTCTGCTGTGTTGCACATCCTTCGCTATGTGAAGGGCACCTTATTGCATGGTTTACATTTCTCGGCCAGTTCTTCCTTGTCCCTTAGCGGCTACTCTGATGCAGATTGGGCTGGAGATCCTACCGATCGTCGCTTCACTACCGGGTATTGCTTCTTCTTAGGTGATTCACTTGTCTCTTGGCGCAGTAAGAAGCAAACCTTGGTTTCTCGTTCGAGTGCCGAGTCTGAGTATCGTGCTCTTGCTGATTCCACCGCAGAGCTATTATGGTTGCGTCGATTACTTGCTGATCTTGGTGTCCCTCAGTCATCCTCTACTGCTCTTCATTGTGATAGCCAGAGCGCTATCAAGATGTCTCATAATGATACGTTTCATGAGCGTACCAAACATATTGAGATTGATTGTCATTTTATTCGCCAGCATGTTACCCATGGGACTGTACGACTTGTTTCTGTCTCTTCTTCGGATCAGATAGCGGATGTCTTCACGAAGTCTCTCCTTCCCGGTCGCTTTTGTTTACTTCTTAGCAAACTCAAGTTGATATCTACTATACCACCTTGAGTTTGAGGGGGGGTGTTAGAATATATTTTGTATATATGGTTATAATATATTTTGTATATATATTGTAGGATTAGATTTAGGCTCATTATGTTCCTATATATATGTGTACATGTCTTTTGAATAATATAGAACATATATTTTTCTCTCTTTCTTACAATCTATATGTATATCTACGGCGAAAATTACTGACGGAACTATTCCGTCAACGAAATTTGTAATATTTTCCTAAATAAATACAATATCATTTAATATTATTAACTAACTAGTTGATATTTTCCTAAAATGGTGAATTATATAAATTTATGTTAAAAAAGATGATTTTATTTATAGTACATACATGTTTGATTGATTAGATGTATTTTGTATGTATGAGTTTTTGTAGGATATTGTTGATATCCGAACTAACAAAGGCATTCACTATGAGACCGCGTGCCCCTAACACTGATCAAGTTACGAACAAATCCTCAAGAGCGGCCGAGTACATTATAATACAATGACCCCATAGAGAGGCTGAATGCGTAGTGGAAGAAACCCGTACGTGCGAATTTAACTAAAGAAGCTCGAATTCCATTTAAAAAGCCAAATCTGAACTCAAAAAAGATCAATAATTATCATTCAAGGCGTATAACTTGTCGTCTGTCGACACGCGTGTCATCCCTAGAAACTCCCTCCCATCAGCGTGGAGATTCCATTTTAGGAGAAATGGATGGCCAAACTGTTTCCGCTGAGATCTCGTAGCTATTGTTTTGCAGTCTGTCGCCACTTTCCCTTCTTCGACTGTGCGACGCTCGGCACCAAAATCTCGTTGCTGTTG